AGTCGGACGCTTAACCGACTGCGCCACCCAGGCGCCCCTTCAGAACATTTTTAAGTATCCTTGTCCTGGGATCTCTGGGGTTTGCATGGGAGAAATACTGCATCTTAGTTTTCATGGACTCTAACTGCAATTTAGCATTTCTTCCAAATGATGTACATAGCTATAGTAATATTGGGAGAACTTGTAATTTTGTTGCAGAGAGATATTTTCGTGTCCCATTATAAGTATTGTAGACACTCTTGCTTATGCTCATCACGACTTATAAATTATGGTAGTTCCTATCTCTACTGTTAAATCTTGGTTTTTAGTGCCGTAATAAAGAAGCATAGAGATCACAATTTTTAAGAACTCTGTATTAATAGTTAGATGTCAAAGTAATAGTTTTCCTTATATCCTTACGTATTCTATCTTATGAATTTTAGAGCGTTGAGAAAGAGGCTGAGGCTTCACCAGATTGCCAAGAGGTCAGGAGGTTCCTGGCATAGAAATATTAAGCTTTCATTTAATCCCCAATTGAGAATTTTCTTCAACCTCCCAACCGTACAGCACTTCCTTCACTTGTGTCCTTCTCCTAGAGATTAGTCACATACATCTTGAGATGGTTTGGGCTTTCTGGATAGTTCCGTAGAATTGTGATTGTGAAAGATCCCTTTTAAAAAGCTTCCTCTGTAATGCGGGCCACACAGTATTAAAACACTTGCAGAATAATGTAGCAAGTTAAGCAGAAAGTTGGCTTCCTAGAAAGTGACGGTTTCATATTTCACAGGTCAGCTTTTACATTTCTCTGGAAGTTATTACTCAAAGGACCTAAAGGCAGTGCAGTTCATCTTAAGAGAAAGAACAAGATGTAGAAATCTGAGTTAGAATCAGTTCATTTCACTCACTTTAACTAGATTTCATAGGCTGTGATACCTTCACCTTGACCTGCCTATGGGAAATGAGATGGGATGTACATGTTCCACTGGTTTGGCAAGGAAGCCCTAAGAATAAAACTGAGAACCTCTTACACAGGTAAAAAGGGGAGGGTGAGTATTGGTGAAATGGGTACTCCTGAGAATTTTGCCCTGCCACTACATGTTATATGCTTTAGATCTCTTTGACCATATCCTTCTACCTCTCGTCGAAAGTAAAAAAGTCAAAAGTAAAAATTCTCAACATCTTGTTGTTGCCAGAAATCTGAGAGAAAAAAAAATCATTTGTTCTGTAATTTTCCCATGAGATGAGCCTTATGCTTGTGTCTACTGTGGAAGGAAGCTAATTGTGAGGCACTAAACCTCTTGGATTGTGTCTTCAGTGGTGCCCTTTCCTTCTAAGAAACAGATACTCGAAAAGTGGGATGAACGCTATAACACCCTTGCACTCAGTCACGTGGTTGCTTTTCCTCTGCAGGCTGGTGAAAGACGCTCCTTGGGATGAAGTCCCGCTTGCTCACTCCCTGGTTGGTTTTGCCACTGCCTATGACTTCTTGTACAACTACTTGAGTAAGACACAGCAGGAGAAGTTTCTTGAAGTGATTGCCAATGTCTCGGGATATATGTATGAAACTTCATACCGAAGAGGATGGGGATTTCAGTACCTCCACAATCACCAACCCACCAACTGCATGGCCTTGCTCACGGGAAGCCTAGTTCTGATGAATCAAGGTGCGTGTGGACACAATTGAGGGGATGCCCAAGCCAATATCAGTCACAGTTGCCTTGAGAGCAGAGCATTTTTGTACCTAGCCTTAGTATATATGTTCATAGTCAGATCCCAACTAAGTTCATGAGATGAAGTAATACCTAGGATATCCCTTAGAGAATTGAGACACATCTCTTTCCTCATTTCTGCTAGTTATATTAGCCTGCAGGTTATTTAAGTAAGGCTTCTGATTGTGCCAAGCCATATCCTTACAGCACACTGTCAGTGGTGAAAATTCATTTTCCCAGAGAATTTTGACAGTGAAGACAGCCATCCTGGATAAATGGAGTTTTTAGTTTTATTCATTCATTCATTCATTCATTCAAATTTGTATTTAAATTGTAGTTAGTTAACATGCAGTATAATATTGGTTTCAGGAGTAGAACCTAGTGATTCAGCACTTAAACATAATACCCAGTGCTGTCTTCCATAATACCCGTCACCCATCTTACCCGTCTCCCACGTACGTCTCTCCTTCAACCCTCAGTTTGTTCCCTGTCTTTAAGAGTCTCTTGTGATTTCCTTCTCTCTCTCCCTTTTTTTCTCCCTTCCCATATGTTCATCTTTTTAAAACCTAAGTGGGTGGTTTATTATTTGAAATGACTGTTCTTTGCAAATAGATGTCTATCATTACAACACTATTTTTTTTCTCTAAAGACTTGAAACAACCAATCTAGATCATTTAGCTCAAATTTGGAAGTGACTTTTGTGGATCACATAGCTACTTTGCATTAATGTATTATGTAATTGCTGATATTACATTTGCTCTGCTTCTATAATTCTGACTTAATTACAACACCTGTGAAAGTCTACAAATGATTAAATAAGACTGTATTTAAGAAAAGCAGCCCTAAGATCACAGCGAATTATTAGGATACTAAATATATACTTGGAATAGGCAAATCTAACAGAACTCTTGACTACTTCCCCATGAGATTTAGTATGCATTTTGTAGATTATCCAACATCAGATTTCCTCAAGTCTAGCTTTCTCCCTTGTCTTACCAACCAGCCATCACTTTTAATTAGTCTTAGAGGAAAAGAAACTAACATTACCTAAGCATATGACACGTGCTAATCCTTGTCCCTGTTTTATTATCGCACTAGCCATATAAGGTAGCTGGGATTTGGACCTAGTTCTGGCCAAAGTCAAAGTTCACTCTCTTTCCATTACATTTTGTTGCCTCTCTTGGAATAGAGATTCAATTTATAGTAATTTAAGGAAAGCTTTAAGAGGGTAGAGTTTCATCCTAGCTCCCTTTGTCCCCTACTCTTACAAAAACAAACAAGATTTAAAAGATGAAAATGAAAATTAATTAATTAATTAAAAAAATGAAAGATTAAAATGCAAACCTTCAAAGTATTTATAAATCCCAATGCCTGTGGAATGACATCATCATGAAATGGTGGAAGGAACCCAAGATGAGCTAGGTCTCAGCCCGGGTCCTTGGTTTTAGCCCAATATAGTGTTATTTCTTTATATAAATGTTTAGTTCTTTAGTAGCAGGAAGAGAGCTTACTTCTTCATTCTTTGTGGTAGATAAAATTGTTCCAGAAAGTATGCAGGCATCGAAAATACTGGTTCAGATTGGATCAAAATGTGTAGTTCTCCCCTGGCAGGAGTTTTCATTGTGCATTTATTTTGTGATTACGGTTCTGGTTGCTCAGAACTATGGGATACAGTCTTACAGAACCCCCACATAGGCAGTGTACGCCTTTTTTTTTTTAAGTTTATTTATTTTTGAGAGAGAGACAGCTGGGGAGGGGCAGAGGAGAAGGGGACAGAGGATCTGAAGTGGGCTCTGTGCTGATAGTAGAGAGCCTGATGCGGGGCTTGAACTCACAAACTGTGAGATCGTGACTTGAGCCGAAGTCAGAGGCTTAACCGACTGAGCCTTTCAGGTGCCCCAGCAGTGTACACATTTATGAGACGATTGGACAGACGAAGAGGTGAAATCTCTGGCCCTGCACATCTCAGTTAATAATCAGGCTTACAGTCCTGGCTTTGTTGGCATACCCACTACCTTTAGGGGCTACCTCACAGGCTGTTTCAACAATCCCGCGTCCTCCAGACCAGCCTCGTAGATACTGACTAGGTAGCTTAGTGTATCGGTAGTTCTCAGCAGACTCACATAAAATCTCAAAAGTGGGAGAATTAGAACTCGGTGCACAGGGACCGCAAGATCACACATAAGCAGTTTACACATCAGTTGCAAAGAAGATAGATGTGAAATGTTTAAGTGATTATGCAATAGTTATAATAGCAACAGAGAATAAAGTAAGAGGTACTATGAAGCTATGGTTAAATATCAATTGAGTGTATTAAGTTTGAATTCAGGAAAACAGTCTTCTTTAGGTGGGTTAGAGAAGGTTCATAGAACTTTGAAAGATTGACAGGGTATGGATAATGAAAATAATGAAGCACATTCCAGGCAAGGTCTATATGGATGGTAGATAAACACAGAGCATAGCATCAATAACAATCCCAGCGCCTCATATTGACAGATTTGAAGTTCACAAAGGTGGACACTGCCTCATATCTCCTGAACAAGGTTGTTGTAAGGAAAAAATAAGGAAAAGCTAGGTAATGCTATATCAGGGAGCAGTAAGTTAGCAGGCCTGATTTTAATCATCACATTAGTGTCTGGTTGGAGATGGTAGATATGGAGAAGAAAAAGATGATGACTGGAATTTTTATTTTTTTAATGTTTATTTATTTTTGAGAGAGGGCACGCAAGCAGGGGAGGGGCAGAGAGAGAGGGAGACAGAGAATCCGAAGCAGGCTCCGTGCTGGCGTATTTTGCCCCTGACGTGGGGCTGCAGCAGTCCTCGAACTGTGAGATCATGACCTGAGCCGAAGTTGGATGCTCAGCTGACTGAGCCACCCGGACACCCCTGGAATTTTAAACCCTAATGATTAGAGAATGGAAACTGAAAACTCTCCAGAAGACTGGCATGTCAGGTGTAGAGCTGGATAGGAGGAGTCAATGTGCAATTAACAGTCACCTCTGCAAAAGCTGAGCCTGAGAACAGTGCTGCCCTCATGAGATGGGAGCCCGGTCCTGCATAGCCTGGGACCTTGGATTTAGGCTGGGGTCTGTGGTCCCTGGGCCCCTGGAAGCCCTCACTCCCAGCACATGCAGTAAGCTGTGGCAGTGTTTGGCACTGGTGATCACACACATGTCTGTGGGGGTGAAGCCACAAAACTCCATCCACATCAGGAGGCAATGAGCTTAATTTTATCCTCACTGGTTCTATGTTTTAAATATAAGCAAACAAAACAAACCTGAAATCTAAAGACCTAGGTTCAGATCAAAGTCCTGTTCACTTTTAGTCATGTGTCAGAGGTCTTGAACAAGGCAAGCTTTCTGCAATTTTGGAGTAACAGTGCCTAATTGAATTGTTAAAAGGATTAAGTAAGATTGTGTTCAGTGCTGTGGAGATTATAAATGTTTTAGAAATGTGAGTTGTTACTGTTACCAAAATACTAGCCTTGCAAGAATTATAGAAAACTAGCATTTTTGAGTCAAAAGAATTTTATAAAGTTTGTAGGCCTTTAATTTTCAGTTGCAGAAATTGAAAAATGTGACAGCTTGAGCGCTTGAACCAAATTTTGGACCTCATTTTAGGTAGGTTCAGGACTCCAAGTTGATTATTTTTACCATGAGATTGTCACTCCAATGGTCTCTCTACCCCACTGTGCTGCCTTTTGAGATCCTCTGGAATCTAAAAGCACAGGAAGAATGAGAAACTGTCTTTAATGACAGGACAAACTGAAGACTATCTGCTTAGGCTTTATCATATTTGCAGCTTATTAAAAATCCTATAAAATAATGGTGCAAGTTATATGAAGTATTAAGCTTCAAAAATATTTTCAAGTAGTAGTTTTTAAAAAACTTGAAGGAGTGCCCGAGGGGCTCAGTCCATTGAATGTCCGACTTCGACTCAGGTCATGATCTCTCACTTAGTGAGTTCGAGCCCCACGTCAGGCTCTGTGCTGACAGCTCAGGGCCTGGAGCCTGCTTCGGACTCTGTGTCTCCCTCTCTCTCTGCCCCTCCCCCACTCACGCTCTGTCTCTCTCAAAAACAAATAAAATTTTTTTTTTTAATTTAGAAAAATTGAATTAAATCTCAATATACAAGATCTTTACACATAGACATAAAGTTATCTTAGATGTGATGAGGTTTCAGTTTATTTAACAGCGGTACTCATTTCAAGGTTTATCTTCATTTAATAAGGGACTTGCATTCAAGAACTTTTTAACCCACATCATGGACCCGACCCAAACCTAGATTAGCAGAATGCTGTTTGTAATGTTGACAAATGAGTTTTGCAAAATGCCATTTGTAATATAAACTAGCCAGATGACTCAGAGGGTTTTATTCGGCTATCGTTTTGCCAAATTTTGTTTATGCTTTATTAGAGCCATAGTGATTGTATCCATGTGTTTTCATTCTTCAGGGTATCTCCAAGAAGCATACTTATGGACCAAACAAGTTCTGACCATCATGGAGAAGTCTCTGGTCCTGCTCCGAGAGGTGACAGATGGCTCCCTCTATGAAGGAGTTGCCTATGGCAGCTACACCACTCGATCCCTCTTCCAGTATATGTTTCTCGTTCAGAGGCACTTTGATATCAACCACTTTGGCCACCCATGGCTGAAACAACACTTTGCGTTTATGTATAGAACCATCCTACCAGGTACAGTGAGGAATCAGAAGTGGGAAAGTGGGAAAGCATTAGCTATTGTTTGTTTCTGATTATGAAAATGGGCTAGATGAGGAGAAGAAATGTGAGGTTTGAGTCATATTGAGGTTAGACTTGTTGTCAAAAAAATAAAGAATTCTGGCACAAAAACAGACACATAGACCAATGGAATAGAATA